TGGCTCTCAGTGGACATGATTGATGATGTGGTTTCAGGAAGGTAAAGCTGTTGTGAGCGAGGATGTCTCCACGGCCCAACACACATCTAGCCGGCCTCTTCCGCTTCTCAGCTACTGATACCCCCTGGTATCGGCTTTTTTTTTTTTTTAGTCTGGGATCAGGATGTTCTTATGACTTTCCCGACGCCTTCGTCCAGGGTGCTGGATGATATACCTTCCCCTTTCACATTCTCCTACGATTTCCGACATGAACACGCAGTCAAAACCACCTATCCTCGCCAATAGTGGAGCAAATGAAAGCTTTGAGGGACCGTTTAGGCTTTGTCATCGTGGTTCTAGCCTAAGGAGGTGCCGTCCTTTACTTCGACGAGTTGGCCGAGGAGAAACACTGGCTTGGGCCTAAAGATCACGATTACGGTGGTCGACAGGTCTGAATGAGTGATAATGCATGTGTCACCGGGGAGCATCAAGTTCTATATAATCGCAATCTAACGCTATATCAACTTCCCGTCCAAGACGTATTACATCAGAAGTAGACACTGTCAGATCGGCTTTGACACACGAGGTAATCGTATTAATTTTCCGCAATAAACCGTGATAGTGAATGAATGAGCCAGGAAGGAAAGAATACCGAAAAGAATGGAAAATGAATCGAAAGACAAACTCTTACTCTAATGCAATCAGTTTATTTTCTATCTTTCCGAAATGGCCGCCCCCTCCCTCTGTAGATATCAGCTCATACAACAGGTATGCCTGAATGGTTCACTGACACCGGAAGAGGGTCGAATGACGGTGAGCGTCAGGCTTGACGCTCTAACTTTATCCACATTTAACTGTCCCAACAATCCCATATCCTCGTCTTGAAACGCCAGCTTGACACAGCTCACGTCTTCATCGACTTTAGGTAGGTGCATCAATCATGCAACCCTCCATGACGGCACTTTCCCTGCAGATTCGTATTGCCTCGTCAGATTTCCATATGTCTATTTGAGATTGGACACCAGGGTAGACCTTAGCAGCGGAGTCACGGTGGAGGTATAGTTGCTCCTGCGCAGTGTTATGAATCAGGCATGCCAGGTTCAACGTCAAGCCGCCAAAGATAATCAGTGTACTTCGTCACAGCTATTGAAGTCCGATGCTGAGGTGTGCTTTGTAAGGCCACCAGAATCTGTAGCATGGCTAGAGCCTGAAGTTTCTCCAGGTAGGGGTGACTGTCCTTCGAGGTATTTGCGCCAGCGTCGCAACTCTGTTGTTTGCTCACCAAGTCGGCTGAGGGCACCAGATCACGAGCTAGCTCGGACCCAAGGAAATTTGTTAGGTCGCGCACGTGATGTGGTTGGATAAGGGCAGAGTAGTGGGCACCCAAACAGCACATGCCCACCAACAAGCCAGTGTAGGCATCCACGATACAGAACGCGGATGTATGGAGAATAGGCCATCTGACACTGACTTCAGTGTACTTTTTCAGTAGGGTGCGAACATTCCCAGCGGAGAAGTACTGGTTGAAGCTGGTGCGTTCGTTGGTTATCGGGGAATCTGCAGAATAGAGGAAGCTGAGGATCCGGTCGGAAAGGAGTGCAAAAGGATCTTTGATCGATTGCGGCACGTTCCAAGTCGAAAAGAAAAGGGAATCGCGGTGATCCAAGGGGCCAGAGGGTCCACTTGAACACTGGACGCCAGTAGTAGGGACCGGGTCGGGTGCGATCAGTGTCTGTACGGGACGACCAAGAGAAGATTGAGTATGATTCTCACGGGCCTGTTGCGATTCAGCCTGGCGGATCCGAGTCCGATCAAGGCTTGATAGCTGGTCTGAGTTGGGCTCGCCATTCGAGAACATCTTATCTTTACGCGAAGTCATGTTGTCACGCCGTTCATACAAGTGGCCGCCCGTGTCTACAGATCAACTTTGTCAGCAAGGCAATAAGATGCGCGGCTTAGCGAGTCATTACTTACGGCGTACAAGGTGACTCTTCTGGCGCTTCGCTTGCGAGTAGGTTTTGTCGTAGTGAGGGTCAGGGATCTTGCCGTTAGCTTTGACTGGTACCACAGTGCTCTTGGTGTTGCCAGTGCCAGCAGGAGTAGCGGTAGGTCCGCCAGAAGCGCCGGTGAGAGCTCCATGGCGACTAGAAGAGCCGATGACATGTTTAGTCTGATCGACATCATCCATACCACCGGACATGACACAGCCAGTGCCGCGGGGAGAGGTCATCCCAGACCGAGGCCTGGCAACATGAGCGGGCATAGAATGCAGAACAGAAGAAACATGTCTAGACGCCGGGGCAGGCGCGATGGGCTGAAGGTGAGAAGTGCCCATCGTGGTCAGGGGCAGCATGGACTGAGTGTCGTACGTCTGGAGCAGGAGAGGGCGCTCGCCTATGTGCTGGTAAGGATTGTGAGGCGGCTGCTGCTGATGCTGGAACGGCATCATGTCGGTCTGGGAATCCGGCGTGCTGGGAGTCGCGGAAGTGCTAGGAGTGTGGGGGTTACTGCGGTTCATCGGGTCTATGGCGGCGAGGGTCTGCGGCTGCAGAGGCGGCAGAGTCTGGTGAGGCAGCAGACGTTTGGTTTGCTGAGGTTGACAAGGTATGATGGCGGGACGCGACGGGTAAGAGACAGAGTTCGTGTCTATACCATCGGTAAGGTACTGAGGAGCGTCCATGCTGTCCGCAGTAGGCCTGTCGGATTTTTGTCGAGACAAAGCTCCGCAGCACAGCTTGCTTGCTGCGAGATCAAGACGCGTTCTTACGTCTGTACGGGATCGTTGGGAGTGTCGTGTAATACCGAGCGACGAAAATAGTTCCGTCGTTGATCCAGTTGAAGATGTCGCTGCCAGGTGGAAAGCAAGATATGCTCCAGGTATCTGGTAGGGCGGATATTCTGTGATGATGGAATAAGGCTACAGTTAATCCCGTGAAAAGTTCTTCCAGGGAGGACTGGGAAAAGAACTTATATGGACGGATGCTTCTTGGTTCCACAATTCTCTTCGCGGTTTTCTTCGCGCAGAAGAAAAGACTGCCAAGTGTCTGATGCCGCCGCCGTAAGGGGGATTATGAAGCGTGTGCATGAGAAAGGAAACCTCGACCTTGCTAGGGTGTTGACGGAGATGTATGGTGAAGGAATTATCGAGCGATGGCCAATCCAGCACTAGCCCGAGAACCAGGTCTTGGTCCGTACAGTCTGCCCGGTAGTGGATCTGCTCTTCTGGCGTTCAATGGGGGCACAGAGGTGTCTACGGACAGCACAGGCCGACAAGACAAGGATGACAAAGTGGTTTCCGGATTGGTGACCGGAACAAAAAACTGATGCTCTCATCACCGACGAAAAGCGTAGATGATTCATCGGGCGTATTGTTGGATGGAGTCTAAGGCGGGCTGCTCGCACTGCTCAGCGGATGGCGGAGAACGGCGTACCGGCGCAGGGGACGACGAGTACCTGACTGTGACGACCAAACACCTTGGTTCGTCGCCATACGACGCTAGCGGGAGACAAACTCGAAGCATCCCTGCACAGATGGGCGTTGGCGCGAATGATGGTGGTGGTAACGCCGTGCAAACACCCACCCCCTTGGCCTTCTTTCCAGGGCAGGGACACTAACACGACTGGTGTCGGCGTATCACTCCAACTATCTGACAAGGGCCTAGTATGAAGTACGAATGGCCTTCCAGACAACGCTACTTCCTATAGCGCGCGGATCATTGGCCATGGCGACGACACATCAAATTGGCGAGCGCGCTGAGGTGACAAGCACGATGAGCAAGACTCGGGGTTGATGGCAACGGCCAGCTGGGCATGACAGCCATGCAGATAAGAGGTGTTGCCCGTTCTCTTGTCTTCCTGGGTTCCGATGGAACCCCGCCGACGCACGATCATCAGCCCTTCGGCCAGTTGGTTATCTGCCAAGGTCTGACAACCAGCGAGGCGCGGATGCTTCTGCGGGGCTGCTGCTCCCAAGCGGTAGAGCTGGCACTGCCTTGCGCAACATGTGCCTTTAGGTGCGATGCGTGGAATCACTGCAGACGATCGCCCTGTTAATGAATCCACCTATGTCCGAGTGACCGCGCCACTGCTTAGATGCGCGATGGCCTAGCAGAGTTCTTGGCTGTCCCGAATACCTGCCCAGTCCGCGATTCTTGCTTCTCGTCGTGGTTCATCCAAAAGACTGCAGCAATGTTCGTAGCCATTCTGGCTTTATGCGTTGCGATTACGACCCTTGTGTGGGCTCTGCTCGGGATCATTGCTACGAGGGTCAAATGCGTGAGCGCAACTGAAGTACTTCCATCTGCAAACCTGTCTGGACACAGACTCAAGACAGACCATGCTGACCTGCTCTCAGAGTACATTGGCTGTTCGCGCTACCTGCATGGTCATATTTGGAGGCGTGGTGCTGGCGTCGTCAATGCGTTCGGCGACTTGGTGTCCCTCCTACCAGCCATTGATCCGCTTGTTCACCCTCGCTGGCGGTGCGCTTGTTCCACGCCTCCTTTCGCGATGTTCAAGACCACTTAGAACATCAAGGCTTGATGCGAAGGATGACCACTTCGATCCTGTCCTCGCTGTCTCCTACGCACTGTGCGCTACTGTAGCAGTGGTGGCCGGCATCTCGAACATTTCTGATATGTCCATGGTATGCGCTCCTTTATCTTCTCAGAACGTGCGCTAAGAGGAAGGCCAGGCTGTGCTTTTCAGCGCCGAGATCGTATTTTTGGTGATATTGCAGGGCATCCCGGCTGCGTCATATTTGACAAAGGCATGTCTGTTAGCCAAGACAGCAGTCAATCAAATCAGTCAAGCCCCGGGCTGGATACCCATATTCACGCATACTGGTCCGCCTGATCCCAGATCAAGGTCTGTCTTCAAGCCTGCTTGCTGTCTCAGCCATGTCGTCGAAGGCGGCAACGAAAACGCATTCCATGTCATGAATCATGCTCGTACACGAATAGGTCTCAGACTGTTTCTGCAGAACTCATCCAGCAGTCCTTTCTTCACTTTCAGCGGCTAGGAAACCTGGTGTCCGTGGTATATAGCGATGCGGACGGCTCCCGGTCTGCTCTCCAACAACTGTGTAGGAGGGTGCCGCGGCCGTCCGCACCCTATAAACTGAGGTTTGCAGCTATTTCGCCCAGAAAGAAGAACGTTTGGCGTCCTCTAGCCACGCAGAAAATCTCGACATCGCGAGTCGAGCGGTAATTGACCGTTCGCGGGATCTGGCCTCCAAAGCACGGCCAATTATTGTCAGGGGTGGTAATCCAGAACCATTTCTGAGAGATATTGGTGTTACGCTCCCCAGATAGGAACTTGTAAGAGGACTACCTGAATTAGTCCAGGAGTTTTGCGAACGCTCTGGGCCATTCAGGCCAGCAAAATCATGATCAGCTCTGTGAGAATAGAATAAGAGATTGCTGTTAAACTGGCTACTGTCTCTGCCGCCTGTCGTGAGTCGAACGATGCACGCAGTCCTAAACTATATCTGCCGCAGAAGTCTTAGGATCCGGTGCGCGATTTGGCGTTTCTCGACTCTCCATGCCTGAAGAAGCTGCGTCAAGGCCCAGAGCCTGCTTGACCTCCGTGACTTCCAGCAAATTCTTGAGCTCAACCGATCCGTATATAGCCTTTCCACCGTACATTTGGTCCATCTTGGGCTTCTTCCCTGTGACCTCTTTGGAATGTCCGTTGAAGATTCTCTTGAGAGCTGATAGACTAAGCCCCTGTCGGGAGAAAGTCTCTTCGTTGAAGATCGAAGCAGTGTAGATGTCCCTAGCCCCCGATTTATGGTCATCAAGTCGGCCATGATGGGTTGCACCGTCATGTCCCAAGGTGTTGGCCGAGACAACGGCCTGGATGGAAAAATCAGAGGCAACACCCCCGACTTTCCCAAATCCCCTTTGATCATGTTGAACCTCTTGTCTTGCAGCTTCGACAGATCCCCAACACGATGCTCGCCGGAATTCACAGACGTCCGACCAACAGCAGGACGATACGCAATCGAAGTCCAATCTCAATGCCGATCAGAATACGGCATCTTCGCATTTATCCTCTGATATTGTTCTAGAGCGAGAACGTGTAGCGTTTGACGAGACGAAGCGCAGTCCCGCCACACCACCTCCTAAGAATGCGGCGCCTGAGAGAAAATGGGATTCAGATAAGGGGCTACAGCTAACGAAGCCAACTCCCACGTACCGTCCAAGGGGGTCCGTATCCCGCCGCAAGTTTGAGTCCCGTCCTGCCGAGTTTAACAATGCCGAGGCAATGGTTAGACAACTTGATACTCGTCCCGTCAGTCAAGAACGATTAGTAGCAATAGGAAGGGCATTTACGCCGGGCTTATCCTAACTAAGAACTAATGCATTAAAGCGGATAATGCTTAGGAATTAAATAACGAAACGGACTTTAAGCTTAATTACGAATAGTAGCAGCCCTTAATAGGTCTATATTAGACGCTATTACAAGAGCACCGTAATTTCCTCCCTACCTCTTAGTACCCCTCAGCCAGCAAAGCCTTGTAACGGCTTGCTAGCAAATACTCTATACCGGAGCGTATATAGAGGTATATATTTTATAACTTCTTAGAGCTACTGCACTGTCGTCTACCCGCTTCGCTTGAATATATACTAGCATTCATCTATTAGGCGTACTCTATAGTAGCTCTCTTACATAATACTATGCCGGCTTTTAAGCACATCTAGATTAAATAAATCGGTAATATAGTAATAAACTGGCGAAGTACCTGCTCTGTAGTAGAGATTCTGCGCTAACGGCTGCGTGTGATGGCCATTGCCTCAAGGCCCGCGAAGTATAGACATCCGTTTCACGGCATTAATCCTCAATAGCTAGCGGTAAGGCTTAAACTAAAGGCCGGCTGTATCATTATCTTGCCATTCTAGCCCGTCTAGACGCTTTGCAGCAACTATGCTATTACAAAAGGTCTCTTTGTATCCAGACCCCATTCTAGTCTGCGCGGGAATTGATCATGACTCTATTTAACTAACGCCTAGATGGCACTCCTACGTAGAAATAAGGAATTGACGCCACGTTTATTCGTGCCTACGGTATTCTGTACCCACGCCGAAAACTATTAATCCTCGTAGTAGTGTTGCTATTTGCCTTGCTGCCTTGCCACTTCTTCCTCCTTTTCGCTAGACTAGTAGTCTTCTTTGTAAGACCATGTCGAATATTCCGCCTCTAGATAGCGATCCAGTCAACGCAAACATGCAGCCTGCGCATGGCACGCTTGTTCAGGACGGGCAATCTCTCGACGACCAAGAGTACCAGCGAGGTGATCCGGTGGCCATCGTCGAGAACGGCACAGAAGAGGATCTTACCGATGCGATTCATATTCTCAAATTCCGCACTAAGCAGCGTATGCTCGTGCCTTTACATGTGTGTTTGACCCTCCACCACCGCCGCCACCAGAAGAAGCTCTCTCTGCTGACTTGCATGGGGCATTCCGGATCCAGAGGCACTAACGTTTCATGCTCGCACTACCAGCGATATCCATGAGAAATCTTCTCAAACACTCTATTTCTTGGTGACCGTCGTTTCCAAGCAGCGCCTTTCTTGACATGAGCTGGAGGGTGAGATAAGTGACTAGCACCAGTCGGATTACTTCGGCGAATGGAGCGCTTCTGGGAGCGACGCTTGAGAGTGTTCTTTCGCGAGGAAGTATCGTGACAAAGCACACGCTCGTAGGGACGGTCACCTGTGTCTATTGAGCATTTGTGTCAGCTAGAGAATAAGCTACGTGGGTTAGTGGGTTATCACTCACGGAGCGGCAGATGGTCCTTCACGTGAAAGTAGGTCTTGGTCCGGTGAGGGCAAGAGAATCTGCCATGAGCACCAGACGCCGAGGCAAGCGCGATGGGCTGAGGACGGGAAAGAGCCATCGTGATCTGGGGCTGCATAGATTGAGTACCATACGCCTGGGTCAGGGGGAAAAATTGGGTCATCTGGTGGTGATGACCGTGAAGCTGCTGCTGCTGCGTGTCGTCCTGGGAGCGTGGAGTGTTGGGAGGAGTAGGGGGACCGGAAGGGCTGCTTTCGTACATGTCATACGAGGCCGCGGATGTCTGCGGTTGCGACGGCGTCGACATCTGGTGAGACAGCGAGAAGGTGGCATGCTGGACATAGTGAGGCGTCTCGGCGAAGGGCGACGGATAGGAGG